TCAATCAAATAGTGGTGCTTCAAAAAAAAAATAAGTGCATAACGAATTATTAAGTGATGCCATCGGCAGTTGCATTCGAAAAGCCATAGTGACCGTCCAACATGGATCAATATAATGAAGCTTCGCAAAATCACAAATAATGTTTCCAGCAATAGTTAATCGAACAGGCCAAAACATATTACAACGTCAGCAACAGCAAATACAAACTACTTGAAACAAGAATTATCGCAAACCAGCATTGTACAACGATGCCAGCCAATGAGCAATCAACGCCTGTAAGTCAAACTCTTTCAAATAATTACAAGTGATTTTCAATTAAATACTGCACAGTGGTTCTGTCACTAATTCAAAGATAAGAAACAACTCTTGGCAAAAAGTACGTATTAAGGAAATACAAACGTAAAATTATTGATTGATCAGGACAGACGAGTCCGCGCGAGAAGATAATTCTTCTTTCAATGTCGTGACTACGAACATATGTTTGAACTGTTAAGTAGACAGAAAATGTTGACGGTACCCATGCACAACCACAACAGATCTAATAAAAACGCAACATACAACCTCCGCTACTATTCTTGATCCAGGGATAGGAGATATAAACTGGAAGAAGAACATAATTCAAGAAATTCTGTTAAAACAGAAAGATACACTTACAAAATGCTTACAAATCAGCAATTGTAAAAATTAATGCCGCAACATCCGATCGCATTTTCGCACCGTCGTCAAGCACTTGAAAAACAAGAAATATTATAGTTTCACTACATATCAGATGAAAGAAGATCGACATTCGAGTAGGATTGAAATATATTCATCCGTCCAAACAGATGTTGCAACTTTGCTACATCAAGAAAATAGAAAATCTTCGTCACAAAGATTTCGTCAAATTTAAATGCTAAACATCGAGTTACTAAGGCACCATTATCCATATTTATTGTTGACCTAGAACAGCCAAACAACAATAAAATATTTATGTTTTTTATGAAATGTATCATCATGAGTGCCCTCGCGGTCACTACTGTCTTGGGCTTGCGCCGTTTTCACATTCGCTGCCTTATTGCTCCTATTGTCCCGGTCGGCCGGGGCTCCGAAGCGCTGCGGACTTCCAAGTATTTATGAAATAAATTCTTCTTAACAACTGTATAGTTTTCGTCGAACCTGTTCGCAAGAAGAAGAAATAGTTACAATGTAAAAAACTGCTTGACCTATGGTCACACTAAAAGCTTATTGCACGAAACAAAGCGCTGCATGCGGTGCGGAAAGGACAACCGGCATTGAATTGTGATAAGAAAAGATAGCATGCCATGTGCGACGATTGCGAGAGAAGGACACCGTCCAACATATAAAGATGTATCATATATCAACTCTTAAAAAGAAGAGATCCCTGATCTCAAAAAAAATATTGCCAAGGGCAAAAAATCCAAAATGCCGTTCCATCAGAAAAAAGACTTTCCCGCAACATTTCCTCAAGAAAACACAGTGCAACCTTCTACCAGCTAATCAACAATCTTACGCGCGAACTCTTTCTAACAAACAGCCGACTGCCGAAAGTAATGAAAAAAATTGTTACAACGTAAATCGTTTCGCAAATTACTGAAAATCTTCTTAGTAAGCAAGCGGAGAAAAAGCACGCGAAAGAAATATCATGGTCAAAACTCTATCAAAATGACGAAGCAGTTAACTCATCAACAGCCTTGGATGCAAACGGTCTCGAATCGAGGAAGACGAGAAGTCGAATTGTTCTCATTAATAATGACAATAGATATATTATTAGGTTCCTAAACGCACTTAACGACTAAGAGCCATATTTAAGATTCCCGAACTTTACTACGTATCAACAACATTCAGTGAAATTGCCCATGGAGCACCGCCAATATAATAAGAAATTCTATTAGGAACCATGAAATAGAGAAATATTGTGAAGAAACATTTACAAGGCAACGACATCCAGATCAATGATTGCATGGACCCTTAAGCCATTTCCAGCGTCTATTGTCACCTAAATATAAATTAAAAGTGAACGAGCTTCAGGAACTTTTTGAAGAACTTGGAAAAGATTCATCGGTCGGTGGAGATTATAATCGAAAAATCGAACTTGGCGGTTCCAGGTTAAACACAACTAGAGGTGAGGGTAAACAAAGCTATTATTCTCCATGAAACTTGTCGTACCACTCACAGGCACCTACTTACTGGCCACACATACTGCAAAATTCCAGATCTTATTGATTTCTTTATTGTGAAGGGCATGTCTTTCCATTTATACAAACTGAAGCATCGCTTGATCTCAGCTCGGACCACACTTTCCTATTATCTTAAAAATTAGTACTCATACGATCACTTCAAGAGAAACAATTGAACCAATCACCTCAAAAACTGACTGCGATTGAATTCCAGCTGTATATTGGAAGATTGTAATTTAATGTTCAGCTTCCGCTATGAGAATAAAGATGAAGATAGCTGCATGCAGTGGAACATTAACGAAGATGTTTACAAGACGCAGCATGGCATTCCACTCCAAATTCAACAATAAAATAAACAAGTATACTTTCCCAAAGCACATCAAGGAAAAGTTGCTCAAAAGCGAAACTAAAAAACCCTACCAAGAAACAAGACATCCACTAGATAAAAGAAAACTGAACAGAAGCAACTACAGATTTTAAAATTGCACTTGAAACTTTTGAGAATAACGCCCCCCCAAAATGAATAAATATCTTAGGAATCTATCCCCTTTAAAGAATCAGATTAATCATTGTGAAGGCAACTAGAAGATTCAAAAGACCAACTCAACCAATTCCCCCTATACGCAAAGAAGATGAGTTCGGGCAAGAAGTACGCGAGAAGGGCAGCAGCATTTGCACAACAGCGTGCAAACGTATTCCAGCCATATAATCCATCACTGAACAGAAGCGGAACCGTGAGATACGAGGATATCTTGAAACTCCCTTGCAAATGTCGCTGCCCATTCAAGCATTCCAACAACTTATGAAATAGGAAAAAGCTATACAAACTTACCGCCCCACAAGCCCCAGGACATGACTTATAACCGGCGAAGTGTGAAGAAATACCCAGAAGGCAAAAATACTAATAACTTCAAATTCAACGCAGCTATTAAGAATTGGACATTATCCTTCTCAATGTAAGGATCTCAGATAATTCGTATACCAAAACCCGGTAAACCAAACTCATGACGTCTCATCGTACAGACCTATCAATTTACTACCAACAATCGCGAAGGCACTAGAGAAGCTGCTTTTACAACGCCACATAAATTGAAAATAATCTATACCCAACTACCAGTTTTGGATTCAGAAATTCACTCTACAATCAACAACTGCAGGAATATAAACGAAAATTAGATTAAAGGTCTGGAGAAAAGCAAATACTGTTCCAGCCGCTGTTCATTAGATGTCGCTAAAAAGCGTTCGAAAAGTGTGGCACACTGGCCTCTGTATTATAAAATTAAAAGATCTTTACCAATCAGAATTCTAACATTATTTTAAAAGTCATATCTCCTTTGAAAGGTGTTTCCAAGTAAAACAACAAGAGATTACTCCAAATTACACCCTGCACAGTCTGTGTGCCACAAGGAAGCTGTTCTGGGACCTGTCTCTATCTCTCTTACAACAGCAATCCTCTCCATTCATCTAAAAAACGTCACAACCAACAACATACGCGGACGACACAGCGGTAAAGTAACGAGGCATGAAGAGCATGAAAAGGCTCTGGAAGTGGCTCCAGGAACACTTAACAAAATTATCTAATGAATTTAAAAGATGGAGAATCCGACGTGAATGATAGCAAAGTCTACCACGTGACATTCACCAATAGAAAGAATACATGCCCCTCATCCAAAATTGAATGATAAACTAATACCACAGGCAGACACGGGTAAACATATTAGGTATGCATCTAGATAGACGTTTAACGTGGAAAAAAACACAAACCACTAAAGAAAAGAACTAGACCTAAGCTTCAAAAAGATTGTACTGGCTACTAGGACGAAATCGGCTTTGTCACCTCAAAAACCAAATATCTGTTGTAAAAAGTACAGTTAATGCCATCATGGACCTTACGGCATGCAACTATGGGGTAACTGCAAGCAACCAAATCTAGAAATATTACAAAAGATTTCAGTCAAAGCTTAATTGCCGCGCGGCTGCTAATGCTCCTTGGTATATTTCCAATGTAATTCTTCATTAATGACTTGCAAGTAAAAAACTGTTAAAGAAATAATCACCAGTTCCAGCTTCAGATACAGCAGAGGCCTGAAAACCATCCAAACTACCTGGCGCTAAACCTACTTGGACAACAGCGAGGACACAAGACGACTGGCAAGACATACTCCTTAGAAACTCGGCTACATATTTCAATTGAGTTGCCCACTGGGCAACATCCACTGTTCCCAATCATTAAAAACTGATTTTTGTGTATGTACATATGTTCTAACATTCACCAGAAAGTTATGATTAACTAATTTGTGAATTTAAAGCAGAAGTTAAAAAAAATCATTCCCCATGAAACAATATAAAGGGTCGTAATCTTTCCGCCAACGCTGTAATTCATGGTAATGTCAACAATGGTTGCTGCGATACCCGCTATTCCATGGTTTCTTTAGCAGACGAGGAGGAAGTGGCTCAGGGTGCGAGAAGCCAAGCGAAGGCAACGCACACTCGCACGCGGAAAAACGTGATGCCATTTGTTGCCACTTGAAGTAAGAAATGTTCTCACATTTGCCAGAGGTGTCACGAGCATGTCTTCAATCAGAAATGAAAATGAAAAAACAAAGTGCAAACTTCAGGAATTTCATGAGCGTTAAAACAGGAACAAACGATTTCAGTTGAGCAGTTTGCCGTCCGAGTTTGGCTCCTCGCAAACGTGACTGCGCAATTGTCTGATTTTGACGAATCTGCTTTCAGAGCAAACAGAAATAGCCTGCCTGCTCAAAACGGCGTGGGGGATAGCATGAGCTCGGCAGCTAAACTCTTGAGGCCTTGGAAGAGAGTTTAAACAAGCCCGGCGATTATATCTGCTGAGGATGAACTGTCACGGTATCGATACATGGCAGCAAAAAGAAACCCTGTGACCAAACGTAAGACAAAAAAACATTAACAGGACAAAGAGGATGTCGCGTACTATTGAATAGCAGTATTTCTCGCAGTAAGCAGCGCTCTTTATTCTAATCTCTTTAAGTTTTGCGCTGCTTTTCGGTACTTAGCCCCAATGGCTGGCTGGTGCCCCTCAACAGACTCGAAGTGGGCAGCCTTCACCGAATGGATGATATAATTTTTCAAAATTTAGATACTCACTAATATGATTAAGAGTGTTAAAGCAATTACTTGCTAAATTAATTAAAACTAAGAGGAATAAAAGTATAATGAAGCATTACTTTTCATAATTTATGCAACTGTCCCTGTCAGTATGTAACGGTACACCTCCCGCGCACGTGGTTTTGCTTCGTTTCACTTGGGCATTAAGTTTTCTGTATTGGTTTTGCTTTGCAGACAAATTGACGTTATTCCAATTCATTCAAAACAGGAAAAGAAATCAAAAATACGGTGATCGCACTCCAGTAACTTGCTACAAACACTACTGATTGGACACCGGTCTTCGAGAGAGAGAATTATTTTGTTCTCGGTAAATTTCACTACGCTGGCGTAATCTTGTAATAAAACATATTCCCACACACACACCAACATTCGCTCAGAGACTGTTACTCAGCTGTAACTGCAGCGAAAAATACGCACTCAACGTTGGAAGGTGGAAAACACAGGAAGGGACTCCTTCCAAAATGATCAACTTTACCGCAACGGGCTCATAAGTCGGAATGTCACATTTTTGGAATTAAAACGACGACATAGCGTCGCCACGGCGTGATTACGTCTGAGTGAACTTCTTCCGGCTACGACTCGAGCCGATACCGCTCGTTAGGCTCGAATGCTTCCTTCGCTTCTACGACGCACAGATTTAACCTCCCGCAATTCCCTCTGTCCCGCTACGCCACAGTAAATTCTTCCTCCGAGACTTTCCAATCCTTGACCTTACGTGCTCCACTTTAATCCACGTCGCAGCCGTTGCCGAGCCACGAATCACCATATATTGCGATTGTAATCTCTTCCAAAGGACCACTATACCATCAAATATACCCCTCTCCTCGCTGCGCTCGACACCTTCTGTCACCTGCTGACGTCCGGACCTCTCTCACGCACGAGCCCACCGCCTTAACCCCACAACATGGGGACGCTTGGTGCCATCTCCCAGTTCGCTCCCGACTCAATTTCCGCTCTCCACAGCGACGCGCGAACCCATATCATTTCTCAACAAGTCGTTTCGCGTCTTCCTCCTCTGATACCCGGTCGTCCCTACTTGACTATCTGCTTGCTCCCTTGCCCACGCTCACTTTGATACCTCGGAAGCATCACCTGCCCACCAGCCATGACCTTGCTTTTTATCGACGTGCCGCCTCGCCCATTCACTACCACGACTTATTATGAAGACACAGCCCCCATACCCAGATCGTCTAATCGCGATGGTCAGCGTTACGCTTCGCAACCAGCCCTCCTACTTGATATCCTGCATAGCCCGCGCCTAATCAGAGGACCCAAGGTCTGCACTTAACGTGCATGACGCGCCGCCTGCCAACTCTCTTACTGTCGTGGATCATCCTGCCTCCGTCGCTAGTCAACTATTCACTATTATATTCTATCTCATTTACGAGTAACTGTAAGCAACGCATACAATTGGTAATCAAGTCGCCTAACATAATAAGAAAAATGAGTTTCTTCAAGCATCATAAAAATAATGCAATCAATACCGTCAATAATTTGCCTTCGGCAATACTAGTACTTGCGGTTGTACTTTCAAATAACATGCGATAAATTTATAAAATTAGGTTTACAAAACATCACTAATGTCATAGGAGGAAAATTGGATTTCTTCCTACCTAGAGACAACACGACAGCGCTGCGCAGACCAAACCCTCTCACCTAATTGTTAGTCGCACCGAAGGCTATGTGTGAGGTGTGTTGAAGCATAGGGCCAAAGAGGTAAACGCAGTAATACAGCACTGAACGTGGTGCATTATCTTGCAGGGCACCAAACCCCGGAGGACAGCCCTTTGTTTCAAAATGGTTTCAACATACCACTTCGATATTGCTGCTATATCTTTGAATATTGAATGTTTGTTAAAACAGAGGATGTATATTTCCTAAAATAACTATAAAAAATCGAGTACCTGGGTTGTGCAACTAAGCCACCAGCCGCCACTGATTGCCTTGCCTCTCCTCCCAGCAGCCTTTATTGTCGCCTAAAGTTTTTTCCCCCACAATTTCTTATTTCACTCAAAAATTTCTTATTTCAATATTTATCTCCCTAATGGTAGAACTTAAATTATGACTTAGGAACTATAATAGAATAGTAAAACGTTCGTCCGTAGTATAGAAGTTGTATATTGAAAAAAATTTCAAAACAGGTTTAGAAACGGCGATCTGAGCGTTACTGAAAATGTATTCTTTTACTGATAAAAATAAATTAAAAAAAGCTCATTTCACTGAAAAACTTTTTCAGTTTCTAGGAATTTAATAGAAAAATATTGAAATACTATCTACTCACAAATCAATAGTGCATTTTGCTGGCGCATTTGAATATTGACGATATTAAAAATAGAGTTATTTTTTTAATACAAAGAATGCAGTAAAAAAATTATCATCTTCAAAATTATTGGTGTAGGAAAAAACGCCAAAAATTGCACTGTTGCCAATTTTCCCACAAATCTGCATTCAACGCACATTGAGGACATGCGCCACTTTAAGCGTCATTTTAGGCTATTACGAGACAACATTTAATCTAAAAATTGGAAACATTTTTAAGAAAATTTTGAAATGTCTTTTGAGGTTTCATGTGAAGTTTTTAATAACTCGAAATATCTGTTTGAAAACTCCCAAAGCTCTCGATTTCGTTCAGATCGATCGGAGAATAATCAATTTGGAGAAAATCGGGCAGAACGGATTTTTAGGCGCTAGTGTTGACACAGACGGACAGACAATTGGTACAGAATACGGATCCGCATAGGAAACATACGGACAGAGAGGGAACAGACGGATAGAGAAAACCGACGGATAGAGAGACAGAACCGGCAGAGCAGACAGACTGACAGGAGGAACAGCCGGACAGAGAGACAGACGGAAGAGGACAGCCGGACAGAGTTTGCTGAAAAAGTTTATTTTTTCGGTTTCAAAGGACCCACAAAACATCTGAAAATTCCTGGCTTCCCCACATGTCTAGGGATACCCCCCTACTATGTATCAAACGCTACCCATTATTCACATTTTCTGAGCCAGAAACGAGAGGAAGTTTTTTTGGCATAAATTCGCAGCAGTTTTCATTTACTTAACGTTTGTTCTTCTTACGAAGTACTTTCCTGTCAGTGCGGAGAAAGTAAAGCATGTAAATTAGCCGTTAAATAAAGACGTAACAAAGACGCTCTTCTTTCGGAATTTGTACGACGTGAAAGACGCATTGTTGAAATCATACAAATCTCGCGACGCGAGCGAATCTTTTCATACCCTAAAAAAAAACCTTACATTGTACTGACAGGCTTACGATCAGTTGGTACCTGTCATTAAGCTTTAGAATAAGAATAGAGTGCGTTTGCAGAAAAACTTCTATACAGGGTGGCCACTTATCTGGAAAATGGAGAAGAAAAACACAGGAATTTCTTTGCTCTGGAAAAAATCAGAGACATTTCGTAAGAATCGTTATAAAATTGTGCATTGTGGTTATAACAATTATATAACACAGCTTTAGAAACATTAGTCCTGTTGTTTTTTCAATTTTTATTGGAAAAAAATATTGTTAATTCGCACTTTGTCACGTCGAAATCAGAGACCTACCCAATTAGTATCAGGATAGCCTCAATATTTTCTTCTAGTAGTGCGAAATTACAAATTTTATCAGAAAAACTAAATAAAAAAAAGCGCTGGAAAACCGGGTAAAATTCTGGGAATTTGTCTCTGGAAACGAGTGGCCACCCTGCTTTGCCCTTGGGCTGGGAATGCGCTGCGCGGGTTGAGCGGTGTGTGGGGGCGGGGGC